TTCGCTGCATATTCATTTTACCCGTAAACAACAAAAACCTTCGTTGTTGACAGAGAGCGCTTCAAAGACAACAATTTCCATGCAAAACTTTCCCCTAAGTGCACAAAAGACGATACACAAACTCCCAGACTTATTCGAAGTCAGCACTATTGTAGGATTTATCGACAGTGCGCGGAGGTTAAAAAGGAAAAAATTTATCGCAGCAAAATCATCGTCTTATTTATACAGTATAACATCGTGTCACACTTGTGTCGTACCCATCGTCTTTATCCGCGACGACGGTCTGAGTCCTTGTACGTCTTCCTTTTATGCGTCCTCGAAGCGTCACAGGATGAGTGATTGCTCATGAAATACCACAGCATCAACAATCGGAATAAATTCACGACATGTATACAGGAAACTCCATGGCATCTTTCATTGATTCTAGACGGTTTTATACAAATAGTTTCGCTATAGAGTTTTATTAGAGTTTTCTTTGCCCACCGAGCGATAGCCGAGGGAAATACTACGACAGATTCATATTGATGAATGAAATTCATTGTTTGCTTGGCGTGCTGAAGGTCGTAGAACACGAAAATGCAGGATTCCTGTCGACTCCTGCCTAAGCAAAAATTACTTGGTTTGGTAGTTTTAAAGTTTACACATCGTTAAGGTTATTGTAGAATTTGTCTATGTATCTATAAGAGCTGCAAGATATTGTCAGACTTAATTCGTCCTTTGAAATTAGTCATGGAAATTTCTAGTCTATTTTCCGCCTTGTCTTTTATAAATGCAATTATTTTGTCCTATTACCAAATTATTTTACTTGTAGTTACACCGCATTTTTGACACTATTTATTTGGCACTGTGGCTGAAACATTTCAAAAGAAATATTTTTAATTCTAGTACAGAATAATTAGTTCCTGATATTGCCAACATTCTGGCTCATAAACAAATGCAGCTTTCCTGCTTTAAATCCAGCTAAAATATTTTTCTGTGTAAAAGCTTTAAAGAACGCGTAAGTTTCCACTTGTCGCCTTTTATCTCGACACCAAAGCTAAAGCAACTTTGTGTTAGCGTGAACGTAAAGAAACATTTTCTGTTTCATTAGCAGTTTGAAGTATATTGCCCGGTAATTGACCAATAAAAGCTACATCTGCTACCAACGTAATAACTTTAAAAGCACAAAATCGATAGAAAAACACTTGAAAAATGTTTCAAATAATAAATAAAAAAGGCGGAAAAACAGAGCAGAAAAGATTATAAATCAATTTCAGTCGTGTACATTCGTAAAATAAATGACGCTATTTTGTGCATATTATTTCGAAGTTACACGCTGTTACTGCTTGAGCAATTGCTCATACAAAGCGAAACTTTAATAATGCGTTTTTTTGAAGACCACATTTGTTTCTAGCCTGCGAACGTAAAAAAGAAAGATGGACGCTATGGAGAAAATTGTAATCAAGCTTGAAACAAATGATATGGAAATCGACGATCACAAAGCAATTTCTTTGACGCTGAAAAAGTGTCATGTGTAATGAGACATTTTATTAGCATGTTTATTTTATTTGATAGTATTTATTTCATGTTCTTCTAGCATATTCTGCTTCAGAACTACTATAAACGAGTGTAATTTTACTTGCAGCTCATTCTAGCTTTCCATAATAATTTAAGGATTAAGGATACATTTTATCTATATTTAAATGCATACTTGGAACTGTTATTCTTTTTGATAAAATAAAGTTATGATTATGAGATGTAACATTTAGGAAAAAACATTGCCGATCTATAAACACACATTTCCAATTGCACGGGCCAATACTCAGCTCGATTGCAGCTAAAAATCGACGTCTGAGATTTGTAGAGAACTCGATTCAGATTGATCACCCCAAGACAATTTCTTACTGACGTAATAATTGTTTAACCAATAATGATATGTTGAGGTCGGTGATGTTTACAGTTTAACCTACAAACTACAAACCAAATACTTAGTACCGAAATTTTAAAGGTTTCAGTATGAAAATATTGTTACTTCTCTGAATTCATTGAATATGATATTTTTGCGTTTTCAGAAACTTAGTTAAAATGTAATCTCAGCGATGATGAATTACTTATTATGTATTGTTTCCTTCATTAAACGAAATTGTTCATCCATGTAAATCCGCTACAGAAACATTTGGAAAATTATAAATAAGTAGGTACAATTAATAATAATAAATAACTTTATTCCCAGTTACAAAAAAAAATAATAAAATAAAGCCAAAAACTGTAAAATTTCACAAAAAAAGAAAACACAATTCATACAAAATAACAGCGCAAGTTAATCACCTAAATGTTCTAATACAGGTGTACTTATAATTTTGAATGGAATGAAATAAGTCGATATTCAGATCGCAATGAACAGACAAAACCGCGACAACAATAAACAATAATCAAAACCCCGAACAAGATAAATTTGGTCAATTAAATATGAGAGATAATAACCTTTGCAAGGATAATAAATGTTGAACGTGTACCTGATCTATAGGCGACCAAACTAAAGGAGTATATTTAAGTTTTGACTTAAACAACCAAAAAAAACCAATTTCGGCAAATTGTCGACAATTCCTAAAAGTAACCAAAATTTTCGAGCACCTGTAAAAACCTTTGCTACAGTGTGGTTGATATGTTCTATGAAAGTAAATTTTGCTTGCAATAAAATTTCCAAGTCTGAATGATGGTTAATTAATGTGTCGTTAACAGTATAATAAAAAAATATGAGAGTTTTCCAGTGTTCTTGACACTACAACATTTAATGATGCTTAGGAAGAGTCGATTTTTTATGCTCCAATTTATAATAGCAATCAGGCTGGCTTCAACGATATTAGGGTCGCCGAGAAGGCGTATAACTTGAAATAATGTCAAGTTGCCGACAAATATCATTTCTCTCAAGAAATGAAGTCTAGAACTTCGTTTATAAATGAAAGAAGTAGAAGTGGGCTCAACCTGGATCCTTGCAACATTCCAAAACTAAGTCTAATTACTTTAGAAATACAACCGCGATACTAACATACTGTTCTCGATTAGGAAACTACAAATTAAACAAGTCAACATAATGGCACTATTTACATGTTGCTCTTATACAACCGACACAAAGTTAGTATTTTTATTAGTAGAAAATTTTGTTAGTAAAACTGTAATTAAAATTTGCAGACAAATTATGCAAATTATGTTTTTCGTATTTTATATTCTGGATCTTCTGTTTGTTTAATATGTAGAAAGAACTGGAATTTTTATCAAAAAAATTTGATATGATAAATAAAAAAAAAGATTTGCTCGTAGAACACTAATTTAGAATAATAAAAAACATTTTTTTTGTATCGTACTTCATCTGATTTGTGAGCTACCTAATGTAGCAGAATGTAAGTACAAATCGCCGAGATTTCCCTACCTTGACTAAATAGTCCATGTTTATTCTACAACGTTGGGAGACATGGCACAACACGCACGCATACATTGTTTACTGATTAATTCCGGTAATTAGAGCGAGTGGGCATGGTGATGCTCTAAGTACAGGCTATTGATTAGTATTGATGTGCTTTGTTACCGCCAAATTGATTGTGGTCCTCTGGAAAACAGTTGTAAATAACCCAGCGTCAGAACTCCGCAATCGAATTAAACAGCGGCGAACTTTACAGGTGCCAGGCGAATAGTGTTAATAGAACAAAGTGTTCATTCCATCGAAAAATTAACATTAATGAAATGTATCGGAACGAACCCACCGTCAACAAATCGTAACTACAAATGCAAAAATCTGACGCGAATAAACAAAATCTGAGCGAAAAATAGGGTTGTGTACATAAATCTACGATTGAAATAATGCGTTTTGTGATTTCGATGCAGCAGCTGGGAAATGAAAAAACACCAATGTATGTACAGGACGTGAGCTACAAATTGAGCAGTGGAAATCTGCAAAAAATGGGTTTTAGCCATGGAAATTTTAAAATAAAATAGTGGATTAACTTTGGACATTTCATTTGTGGGGTACGCTAGTTAGTTCATTTAATAAAATTGTGAACGAGAAAGTATGTTGTTGTCTTTTTTTGAAAAATTCTCAAATATTTGGAACAACAGAAATAAGCAATGATAAAAATTGAAAAAGTGATTTACTCTCGAATTAAAAAAGATGAGAAACCCTTAAACCTATCAAAGAATTATATGATTTATATCAAACCGAGAAGTAGAGGACGCAACTGATAAATCATAAACAGATATAAAAAAAGACGGCATTTCTAACACACATTTAAAATTTGACAACTAACAATCATTCTGGTAATTTCGAAGATTATCTGTCTGATAGAAATTGACACAAACGGTATTCGGCAGACAAACGAGAGACAAGCAGACGGAAACAGGAGATCTATATTCGTACTGTAGGAACCATGAAACTTAGAGAAACATGAAAGTAGCCAGTCGCCCAATGGACCCTATTACAGTATTTGTTTAGCTCGGAAAGCGAAAAAAAATCCAAATTTCTATTTTCTCAATTTTATTTAAGTATTTTAAAAACTTTTAAATATTGCTTACGTAATAGAGAGCAATACCAAACACTAAAGCGATCATCATACAAGAGAAAGTGTCACGGTGTAAGTTTTTATTAAATATTGTATAGTATTTTACCTTGTACATTTATCACAACGCAAGGTTATTCTTAAGACGTGAAAAGAATATTTAATAAATAGTGCTTAAGTAAAAATCTTAGTTTAATAATTTTTTTGTTTTGTTTTTTTCAGAATCTCTGTTTGCTTGACGTAAAATTCTGTATTTACAAATAAACACTATTATTATTATTATTATCATTAAGACCCACCAATTGTACTCAATTGAAATATTTAGCAGTATTAGATAAATTTTCTTAAACATTTTACACAATATGCGACGGTAAAATTTTTGATTTACTGATAATTTGTAAGACATATGTCTAAAAAAAATCAAAACAAAAATTTTTTAGCCACAGTGACCTGTGACAATGGTCGAGCTTTAAGTCCACTGCGCTGTCAAATTATCGTAACGTCTCATTTGAATTAATAATAAACATGTCCAAATCTCGTGTTTGTGCGGAAAAAGTGGCCAAGGCTTGCACCAAGAAGACAAATTTATTAGTGTACGAACGGAAAAAAGGAGACGGATGCCAAAAGACAAAACCCTACGTACCTCGTAAGAATCCATTTACCCACCAACTCGGAAAACTCAAGTATAATTATGAATAATCGTAGTTCCTCATGCGTAATAAGACATTTAAAACGTTGTAAAGTAGACTTTTGCTAAATTTATTTTCCGGATTAAATTAAAATCTAATTTTTACGGTCGTAGTTTATGTGTTGGAAGATGCGAATCGACTTATCCTGGTGAATAATTAAAACCGCTGCGTCGGAATAACTGCTTGCTACTTAGGTTTGGTTTTATTGTCTTTTCTAGCCATATCGAACCCGCAGCTCAAGCGGATACGAATATGCACAGGGGCGGAATTGAAGAAAATGTGCCCGCCGCCGCCGTGTCCGTGTCCACCACAACAAGCGAAACGCGATCTAGGTCTGCTTTCCAAGTTGCTGCGGATCCTGGGCTTCGGAGCCAAAAGTTTGCTGGCTGCTAGCGCTATTTATCTCACATATGATATGGGAATTTGGGGCGATTCAGAGTCTACGGGGAAGCTGTACAAGAGCATTTGTGACGCAGTGTTGCCAAATATCGTTGAACCTCAGGTTAGGGAGAAAACGTTGACGCCGTCTTGCCAGGCAGAGAGAGAACTATTTCATGTAAGTAATACCATAACTATCGTTTTACGTGCTAGTAGCAGTTTCATTTATTAATAAAATACCTAGAAAAAATAAACTAAACAAAACATTGCGTACATGATCTGTGTTCGAATAATCTACGTTCTGAAGTTCCATTTTCGACCGTATTATGTATTCAAATATTTTTGAATAATTACTTCGTTGGAATTTGTAACTTTCGGAAGGTAGGAAATTCAATAATTATATAAGCACTCTGAATTTTCAATTATTTTACACTGTGATAAAATATTCAAAATGCTTAATGCGTTTTTGAGGTAGCAGGCCGCACTGTAATTTTTAAAATATCGTCCCCCTACAAAGCACGTTTACGTTCTGAGTTTCAAAACAGAATGCACGGAAACTATAGCATGAGTTCCTATCGATTTCAACAATCACACATGCATTTTTGCCAAAAAAAGTAAAAATTATGTTAAAAATTTATAAACACAAGTAGGTACCTCAAGACTTTTTCACTGTTCGTATTAATACAATAATTCTACATGTTCTTGGTCCTCCTGTGTTATGTACTTAAGTCCTTGCTTATTATTGTTGCGTTTTACGGGGATTAAAATTGGTGTGCGTAAAACCTCAGGATTGTTAGAATACTACACAATTAATCGGAAACGCCGATCTAAGCAGGGCATAACTAGGTTTGATTTCAGGGTGGGCAACTAATACTCTTATGTAAAAGTATAATAGGTACTTAAAATTACTTTTTACTTTCCGAGCGTAAGCAAAGGAAGTATTGTAATCGAGTCCGTCGGCCGACTCTCTACTTTTACGTTTTCTCTGTCCGTCTGTCTGCCGTCCCGGATTTTTATTAGACAGATAATCTCCGAAAGTACTGGACCGATTGTTGTGAAATTTTGTACTTATATTAGGAATATCATGTAGATGGTAAAACGCTAACCAAAATTTGTCTAATCATCCCCACCACTAATGCGATGACGTCACTTCAAAATTGTACATAGTAAATGGGTTTTAAATTGTATAAAATAACATAGTCCTACACATGTAGTTTACGATTCCGAATTGAGTTTTTACCCGAAATGTCCAGATTTTTAAAAAAAAATCAAAATTATAAAACAACATTTTGCAATTTAATTTTGAATCTGCTAACCTGAATGTTTTGAAATGTTGTAGATGTTGTAAGGCTATAAAGAGCATCATAAATCTTTAGTCAAAATATATTTGGTTATCCCCTCCAAAAACTTGATGACGTCACCACAAAATTTTGCAGAATAAACCCTATCTAAAATGTCTCTTCTTGTGATTTATCATTCCATTCAAATTTTTTCGATTTGCATATACAGGGTGACTCAAAAAATTAATGAATGAGTGAATTTATTTTATTGAGTTAATCAGGAACTACAAAACCGAATGCTTTGAAAACTTGCAGATGTTTTAAGGTTGTAAAGAGCATAATAAATGATTAGTCAAAATATATTTGCTTATCTCCTCCAAAAAATTGATGACGTCAGCTCGAAAGTTTGCCGAATAAATCCTATCTGAACTGTACAAAATATGATGAGTCTGTACTTGTGATTTATCACTCCATTAATATTTTTTGGATTTGCATATACAGGGTGACTCAAAAAAATTAAAGAATGCGTAAATTTATTTTATTGATTTACTCAGGAACCACAAAACCGATTGCTTTGAAATCTTGAAAATGTTTTAAAGTTATCATAAGCATGGTAGGTTTTTGATCAAAATGTATTTGCTTGTCCCCGCTAAGAAATTGATGACGTCACCCCAAAATTTTGCTGAATAAATCCTATCTAAAATGTACAAAATATGATGAGTCTCTTCTTGTGATTTACCATTCCATTCATATTTTTTGGATTTGCATATACAGAGTGACCCAAAAAAATTAATGAATGCGTAAATGTATTTTTTTGATTTAATCAGGAACTACAGAACCGAATGTTTTGAAATCTTGCAAATGTTTTAAAGTTATAAATAGCATAATACATTTTTAGTCAAAATATATTTGGTGATCTTCTCCAAAAAACTGATGACGTCAGCTCAAAATTTTGCCGAATAAATCCTATCTAGAATATACAAAATATGATGAGTCTTGCATATACCGGGTGACTCAAAAAAAAATGAATGCGTAAATTTATTTTATTGGTTTACTCAGGAATTACAAAACAGAATGCTTTGAAATCTACTGCGAAAAAAAACATAATAGACATGCAGTCGTCACGTTTCCGACAGCGAGGGAAGTACTGTCTAAACTCTTTTTATTTTTTTATGATGGTAACCTCTTCTTGAGACGGTAGTGGAATACTTAAAAACACATTAAAAACTAGAAAAGATTTTTTAGAGAAATTTAAAATCAATAAAGAATGGACTTAAATTAATCTGATAAAATGTTAAATGGGCAGCAACTTACCTAAAGTTGATAAGTACTGAAATTTCTCTAAATTAAAGTGATTGATAATTGAGATCGCAGTAGTTAAATCGTCATGTTCATCAATTTTTTTTTCAAATTCAACAAGGAGTAAATCAATTGTTTCCATTATTGTCGTTTAAGGTCATTTTCACAGTTCGTACTTGTACTTGTAACATAATCGGTTAATAAGTAGTATTTTTTAGTAACCTGTTTCCGTTTATGTTTAGGCACCCTACCTTCTTTTGGTTCATCTGTCTCTGGTAATAAGTTATATTTCTAAGTCTTATTTCGATTTGTTCCTTAGCTACCAAATTGCTTGTACTGCTATTTTCATAATTACGACTCCCTTTTTAGGCTTGTTCTTCTACTTTCTAATACATTATTCGCACATTCCAAAAGTCGTAACATTTGGTGAGTCAGAATCAATGAAAATCGAAACTCAATTTTTTTCACTTCAGCATATAAACCAAGACCATTAGCTACAGTACCGCTGTCAATCTTTCCCTGTGTATCTTTTTTAATACTTGCAATATCTCTTGAGAACAACCACTTTTGTAACGGTCAAATGACCTGTCCATCTTTGCTCCAGGAGATCCGATATTTTTTTCCTTCAAAGATGTTATATATTTTGGGATGCTGAAAAAATGTATGAAGTGTAATGCATTGCTCAAAGAATAGTCTTAAAACCACAATAACAGAGGCAACTCTTATTATCACTAGGTGTAGTCTGTGGTTAAAACAGTGTACGTAGGGTACCTTTTTCTGCAGGGCTGATTCAATTCTTGCGGCCTTCTCTTTTTCCGCTCATTACACTTGCCCCATCATGTTATTTTGATCTAATTTGTTTGCACTGAGAACTTTTATAGTTTCTAATGTTTTCTTGGCAATGTAGCAATATCTAACTTGACGGTTGCTGTTATAGCTAATAAAGATTCCCTTACCTTTCCGTTCTTGACATATTTTATGCCTATTGATATGTTCTCTCTTTGGTTCTTGTCTTTAGTTCCGTCTTCGAGTAGGAACGTAAAGAATTTAACATCTCCATTCTTTACATCAGAGCAAGCATTTTTGGAAATTTTTATCTAACAGTTTTTTTATCCTTCTTAAGAGTATACTGTAATAGCCTAATAAATAAACCTTTTTCCATATGTTCTTCTTCTAAATTATATTCTCAACACAGTGCCAACTCGTATGCAGCAATAAAATGAATCATTTCTACATACTTTTCATGTAATATCTGTTTTGCCCTAAAGGTTTTTTTGTAGATACTACCAATTTCATGCTGTTTCTCCGAATTTTTTCATTCTCACTCCAGCATCAATTTTTTGGTGTAGAATTTTTTTTTCAGAGTGGGCAATGGGCACGCTCCTAGGTTTAGCTACTACTACTGTTCTCTCCTTAATTCTGATCGTCTCGATTAGAAACATCATCAGCATCACTAATGTACTTCATAAGGCGGTCGAATGAATAATTTTCATTTTCGTCTTCGACCCTTATCGAATCCTATAAATGATATCGTTGATACTCTTCACGTTGGTATGCTAACCTTGTTAATTTAGCGACAACTTAGGGCAACGATCTTTTTCCTAGAGTTATAAAGCCACCAAATCGCCTGCCAGGAATCCTAAAGAATTATCCTTACGGTCGTAGTCTGTTTTGATTCTATCACTCGCTACACTAATCTTGAGGCGTACTATTTCAGGGACGCTTTACAACTTCTCCTTTAAGTCATCTGCTTAATCTTTGACCTCCTTTGGTTCTTCACTTGGAGAGCCGAACAGTATGTCACAAAGTGGATGAACCTTTCTTCCGAGAACTATGCGCACCGGTGTCGGACCTGTCGTGTCATGGACAGCTGATCAATAAGCCAGCAGTAATGACGAACGGTAACGATGTTTCGGATGGTCAGTCGCTACGTTCGAAAGATATTCTTCTATGATCCGACTGAATCACTCTACCATCCCATCTAAGTGTGGATGTAATAGCCTAGTCCGCGTCTTTCGTATTCCGACTACTTCAATAGCCCTTTAGAACAGGTTTGGTTGAAAGTTCCTGCCTCACTTCATGCATTTTGAGTGAGATTTCAAACCTGTAAATCCAATTGTCAATCAAAGTCTTTGCAACTGCAGTGGCTTCTTGTTGCTTTATGACCTAAATTTTAGGCCATTTGTTTGAGTAATTGTTGACGACTATTATAAACTTGTTTCCGTTCTCGGATAATGGAAAAGGACCCGAAGACGTGTTGATTGCAATTCTTTCAAAAGACGAAGCGACGTTGTGTTGTAGAATCAATCCTCTCGTGTTAGTCCTCGAACCCTTGACCTCTCAACGTCCTCTCGATAACGGACTTACTAAAATCTTTCCCTAACTTTAGAAAGCGTCTTGTTTATTTAAAAAAAATAGTATTTCCTAAAGCACTTCCTTGCTTCTGATGGCTGAAACCATTAACTTCCCATTTAACCTTTCCAGACTCGCTTACCAATCCGTTCTCAATATGCAATAAGCCCCACTGAGCCCATAACGGCTTGAAATAATCGTCCTCTTGATTCTTTCTATGCTGAGCTGCAGCCCATCCTTCATTCTC